ATTCTTAACTTTTGGCCTAAAATTTCAAATTTGATTTGAATTCCCAACAATTCACACTTTAGTGACTAACCCCGTATAAATTATGGCTGGTGACGTTGCAAGAAGACATGTTTACCTACAGATCCTGTAGGTAAACTCACTCATCAACATTAGTAACATTTTTTTCCATTCCAAAAACAAAAATCAGTAAACCACTCACTCTACCTTAGTTACATTAGAAGTTTTACATTACGCACACATAGTGTAGATTAAGAAAAAAACAATCTAGACTAAGCTATGTCAAAAAACTGTATCATCTCATTAGCCATGTTGCCTTTGAATAAATTCGCTACGCACAGTCCAAAGAAAAGTGTTTTGTTCCTTCTTGCTCAGAACACCGGCCTTCTTTTTAATGACTGTAATATAGCTCACTGAGAATTCTGTGATTGGACAGCCACTTACATGCGCAGCTGCTCCGCATGGCATTGGATTGGGCACGTGCTGTGGAAGAAGGAGAGGGTTTGCAAACTAAGATTTAATTACCACAAACAAGAAAATGAAAAAATATATATATATTTAATGCATATTTTTATTTGGGGTATATCAACTAACCTGGTCAATTTTAAATTACGGAGTGTTCTTTTAAAATGGAACAAAGAGTCTAGATGACATGAAATGAAAATTAAATGACAGGCGTGTTGAAGCTTGGATTCTAATATTGTATATTTCTCAATTTATGGGTACATTGTATATGAATCAATTTATGGGGGTCAAGCCTCCCTACTTGTGAAATCAATATATTATTTAACTACCCCATTAAAATCTGGACAGAAAACGAAACCTATTCAACAAAAGAAAAAGAAAATAGAGCTGTCAGATCTTTAGATTGATTATTTACTCCTAATTAAGTTTGATCCGACTACCTACAGTTATTAAGAAAGGCATGATTTTTTATATATATATTTCAAGGTTGGAAGGGTGATTGTACCCACTACAGTGGTTTTGATGAGGTCAGAACAGCTGCTATGGTGAAACAAAAAAGTGCACTCATCCAGTGACCCATGAGAGCCCGTATTGTTGTAGGATTTGTGGATGATTTCCTGTGACAATGCCATGATGTAGCGGCAAAGCTAAGCTGTCTTTCAGGTGCAGGTTAGAATTCTGCAGGTTTCCCAATACATTCTAAAATGTAATTCACTAAACCGGAGCATCATTTTCATTAATCTCCAATATTAGTATACTAGCTCTAGGTAGCGACGGTCTTATCCTGACATATCCTGTCATCTTCGTAGATCACACAGACAATGTGATGCATCGTACAGCTTGCAAAAACTGCTGAGCAGACATGTGAGCCCATCAAATGCTACTTATCATTATAATCTCATTAAGGAGGCTGTATTGAAATGATGCCAGTGGTTGCTACAAGCAGCCATTAAGAAAGTATTGTTTGGTTTTCTTTACAGCATACATAGTCATTCTCATAAAACAAACTTATGAGGCTGTTTACCTGCATTTTAATTTTTTTGTAAATGAAACACTAAAATATTTAATGTTTCTAAGGCTTGTGACTTGCTGTATATTTTTTTGCTTTACATGACAGGTGTAACATTATTGCCAAGCAGCCAGGTTACATAGTTACATAGTTACATAGTTGAAAAGAGACTTGCGTCCATCGAGTTCAGCCTTCCTCACATTTGTTTTTTGCTGTTGATCCAGGTCTGGTCACTATTAGAGTCATTTGTCTACCTTTCCAAAGCTTATGAGATTTTGCTATTAAAAAAGTAGCAGCTGGGGGGTGTGGCCTGGAGCTCGACCGACATGGACGCACGCATGTGAAGTTCCCGCCGACCAGGGCATAAAAAGCAAAAATAATCGGACTACAAAGCGATAAACAAGACACCCGCGGTCCCACGATATCGCACAGACACAAACAAAAAGCTGCCAAAGCAGAACGGGAATCCTTCTTCTTGGCAAGGTCAGCCGGAAAAAAAACGAGGGAAACTAACAGCCCTAAATAAAAATGGCGGCGGGAACCACTCCCGCGAGGGATCCCTCTCGCCAGCGGCATCAGTCAGCTCACAGGCAGAGGATCAACCTCTCACCACCACCTCCGTGACCTGGCAGACAACTTACAAACCACTATGAAAAACCAACTACAAGGCCTGGCAGTAGAACTGAGAAAAGACATAGCTGAAATAGGGCAGCGCACAACCCACATGGAACAGAGGCCGGATGAGTGCGCAGATGCCCACAACGGCCTCGCCGAAAAAGTGCAGGAATATGAAATTACCATGCACTCTCTCAAAACGAAAATAGCAGACCTCGAGGACCAGTCATGGAGAAACAATATCCGGATTAGAGGCATACCCGAAACGGTACTTCCAACAGGCCTCAACGACTACCTCCAAGACATGTTCCAGGCACTCACCCCGGCTATACACCCAGACCAGCTCGTTGTAGATAGGGTGCACCGCCTCAGACGACCACAACACCTCCCGGCAACGGCAGAGAGAGATGTCATAGCCCGCATCCATTTCTTCCACGCCAAAGAACTGATAATGAAAGCGAGCAGAACAGCAGAAATGTCGGACCCGTATGGACATATTAAAATGTTTGCCGATCTATCAGCAGAAACCTTACAATACAGGAAGAACTTAGCACAGATCACCGCCACTCTCCGAGAAAAGAAGATCGCCGACAGATGGGGATACCCGGCTAAACTACTCATCCACTATGAAGGGAAGATGCACACAATATCCAACCTAGACACGGGACTCGCTAAACTCAATGACTGGGGCATCCAAGTCCGAGACGCTTAAAAAACCTGCAAAGGTCCCCAGGGTGTCAAGTGACTGGGCAACCAGCTGATAAATATCCACCTAATAATACTCCAAACGGAGACAGACCATTGGTAACCTCTTGGGCATACTGCTAGACAACTGAATCATCAGGAATGTAAGTTTATTCCATCAACTGTTTGCTGAATGTTCTTCCCTATGGTTATGGTTATATATATACCCTATGTTATTTGTAAAGTGCTTCAAATGTAAATAGTACTATGATGTAAAGAGGGGACACACAATGTGCTGAGTCAGACACATGCAGGTTAATACAAAGGACACAACATAACGCTAGGCCCAGCGAGTATACCCACCACCTCAGCATCATAACGCTTTACCCCACCTGGATGGTTATAGATGAGCTACCGGACTATTGCCGGTCTAATCCCTCCACCCCTCACTATATGTGACTGGGATTCCCCCGGCGCATCTAAACTCCCCATGGAGGAGTTTTCAAGGGCACGTGGCCCACTTGTTCGTTATTTCCCTTCCACTGTTTCCCCACCCTATGTTACCCCCTACCCCGGGGAATACCACAGCACCAAAATATACTATGCAACCCTCAACAATCTCCCCTACCCAGGGATCGAAACAGGGACCCCCCCTGAAAGGACAAGTGATAACAGCTCTAGAGACCAACTGAAGTACCACCATGAAAATAATCTCCCATAATGTTAAAGGTCTAAATACCCCAGGTAAAAGTAGGCTTCTACTTAAGGACCTCACCAAGCAGGGGGTAGATATTGCATGTATCCAGGAAACACACTTTCGTGTCCAATTCCATTCTCTTGCCAGTACGAAATCTAAAGGTGTGTCAATCAAAGAAACAGTTACAATCCAACAACAGTACATAGATTCGAGGGGTAGATACATTATCTTAGTGGGCCAATTTAATAACGCACAACTCACACTGATGGCCGCATATTTCCCTAACAAAGCGCAGGGGCAATACTTACAGATGTTACTTCACAAACTCGACAAAATCAAGCAAGGGGAAGTGATAATGTGCGTAGACTTTAACTGTATACAGTCACCCGTGCTGGACACCACAGCCAATCTTACAGGCAATAGCAGGAACAAGTTGATCTCCACCAGCAAATCCTTCACTAAACTAATTGACCATTATGATTTCTATGACGCTTGGAGGACCCTCCACCCGAGCGACAGAGACTACTTCTTCCACTCAAGGGCCCATAACACATACACGCGCATAGATACGTTCTTTTTAGATAGACATCTACTAGCACGACTGAATAGATGTACAGTAGGGGACATGACGTGGTCAGATCATGGTACAGTATACCTGGAAATACACGATGCGTACCAATTTAAAGGGAGGAGTACATGGCGACTAAATGATTCACTACTACTAAACGGCCCATTCGAACAAGAAATTAGAGATGCCCTACAGGCATACTTCACCACCAATGCGGGAGGGGAGGCTTCAGATGACATAGTATGGTCTGCACACAAAGCAGTAGTAAGAGGGCTATTCCTTAGAAAAGCCTCCTATCTGAAAAAACACCACCAAACCAACCTCCTTGATTGCCACAAGCAAATAGCCTTAGTCTCCAAACAAAACAAAAAACAACCTACACCAGTGCTAGCATCACAACTACAAAACTTACACACAAAACTGACCGAACTGAACCAGAGAAAACAAAAACCTTACTATTTAAACTTAAAGCTAATGTCTACCACAATAGTGGCAAAGCTAGTAAACACCTAGCTAACAGACTCAGGGCCAAATACGCCAGCACCAAAATCGCACGTATCACAGGGGCGGACGACAACCAATACCAAACCCCCGCAGACATCAGCTGGGAATTTGCAAAATTCTACTCTGAACTATACAACCTCAAAGAGGCAGGCAACATACATATAGCAAAACATGATGAAATAGATGAATATTTGAGACGAACCAACCTCCCCCAGGTCTCCCAGGTCAAAATAGCAGACCTACTCAAACCAATAGACTTACAGGAAATCTTACAGGTGATAGAGGGACTGCCGGGGGGTAAATTGCCAGGAGCAGACAGCCTTACCAATGCTTACTACAAGATATTTGCAAATTAACTAACCCCACACCTACTACGGGTATACTACTCAGCTACGAACTCAGGGAAACTACCGCCAGAGATGCTATTGGCCACAATAATAACCCTACCAAAGCCAGGTAAAGCCCCAGATAAATGCCAAAACTACCACCCCATATCACTCCTGAATACAGATACAAAAATATACGCAAAGATCCTAGCCAACAGAATTAGTGACATACTGCCAGACCTCATAGGAGACGACCAAATGCGGTTTGTGACAGGCAGACAGGGTTTAGACAATACACGGAAACTGACACTATTACTAGGGGGCCTACGGAAAAATAGACAAGGAGGATTGCTCCTCGCGCTGGAAGCAGAAAAAGCGTTCGATCGCCTTAGCTGGCCCTTCCTAGACCGAACCCTGAGAGCATACGGATTCCCCTCCCCGTGATACAACAAATATTCGCCCTATACTCGGCACCGACAGCACAGGTCCTCCAATCGGGTGTCAACTCGAACCCCTTCACAATATCCAACGGGACAAGGCAGGACTGCCCGCTATCCCCTCTCCTATATGTACTGGCCCTAGACCCCTACTGCGAGCTATCAGAGCCCCCCAACATATAGGAGGTATTAACGTAAAAGGTAATGAATACAAAATCAGTGCATTCGCAGATAATATACTTCTCTACATAACACAGCCCCTAGACACTCTACCACACATCATGCAGGAGATACAAACATATGGCCAACTATCCTATTACTCTCTTAATACCACGAAAACACAAGCCATGGGGATCAACCTAACAACAATACTAACCCAGAAGCTTAGCACTACATATAACTTTCAATGGAGGAAGGACCATATCACATATCTGGGGCTCCACATCATCAGACAGGCTAAAGAACTGATATCAGGGAACTACATCAGAGTGTGGCATGAGTGTAAAACGACCCTTAAAACTTGGGGACCCCTCTTCCTTACATGGACAGAACGAATAATAGCAATAAAAATGTCCTAAACTACAATATGTATTTAGGACACTGCCTATGAATGTTCCACTGACATACTTCAAGACTATACAGAGGGACATCAGCATGGTGGATTAGCCGTGCCAGATGTCCGGGCCTACTACCACGCCTCTGTACTAGCATCGGCACTACCTCCCTTGCTGGACCAACCACCCCCCAATGGGTGACCCTAGAAAAACATCTAATGGAACCATATGAGATACCACACATACTGTGGCTACCCAAGCAATTTAGGCCACCATTAATGGACACCCCCACCCAAATAGCATTGCTTATGAGAGTGTGGGACATGCATAGAAGTAAATTGAGCTCAAACCCACATATCTAGCAAGCCACGCCACTATGGGCACTAACCTACTGCATACCCACAATCCATGCAGCTCCATGGCAAGAAAAAGGCATCATAACCTTAGCCCAAATCCACACAAGAGGGAGACTTACAGACTTCAACACACTACAAAAGACACACAACATCCCACATACCTCACACTTTTCGTACAGGCAACTATCATCCTTTCTCCAAGAACAGGAATCCCAAAACCCACCGCAGACCAACCCAAGCGCACCTAGTTTTACACTCTGGGAAAATAGATGTATTCAACGTAAACTCCCAAAGTCTTGAAAACCACTGTCCACCTGCTACAAAATGCTATTGATGTACACACCGCTATCTGATGCCACACAAGCGATACAGTGGGGAAAGGAGGGCATGAAAGTCCCGTCAAACCCCTTCCATAGAAGCAGTCCTCGCAGAAATAGACAACCAAAGAATTTATGAAAAACACTACCACATTGTATGCCCACCCAACAAAACGATGCTGGCAGCATGGGAGAGATGGGAAACATGGAGACGAAACCCCCCCAGAACACCACAACATTAGTTCGTCCCAACCCACGAGAGAAAAAAAGAATCACCTAGGAGAGACTATATAGGCAGGGAAGAGCTGAGACACAGAGTAGCCAGCAAAGGGCCGATAGACAGTTCAAGGGACAACGCATTTACTTAACGTAACAACAAAGGGCTGCATAGTGATATGAATAGTGATATGAGTTGTATATGAATCCTGTGAACTGGAACACTAATTACATGTACTTGATAAATGCTGTACCTCCATCCCCGTCTCCCCCCGTCCTTTCTGTACCCCCCCATCCCCCCACCACCCACTGTTGAAGTTATATGAAGTAATAAAAACAATTAAAAAAAAAGTAGCAGCTGCGGGGAAGGACCGCCATGCGGAATGGATGCACAGACGATCAGCTATGGCAAATACTAGGCATTTACGCGGAAATTAAGAGATTAACCTGCCATAAAACAGCCTGGAAAAAGCAGTCCAGCGTGCACTGAGGTGATGAATCGGAAGTTACATCTTCTTCGCATTTTTTGCCCCTTAAAGGGTGCAATAACTTTGTCGTAGTTGAGGCCTACTCGGGTGGTGAGTGGGGTGGACGGCCGCTTCCCCGCTACCCTGCTCAGCGGCTTCAAGCCAAAACATTGGTGCAACGTGGTACTGGCCTCATTCTCACCCTCCCCCCTTTGGACCAGTGGGGGTCATCCTGGTTCTCGCCTCGATGGCCCTTATGCAACTATTGACCTGGTTTGTGAGTAGAAGGGGACCCCTCTCCCTAAAATAGCAGAGCCTCATGTCACGTTGGCAGCAAAGGAGACCGGGCTGGGAAGCCTTGCACCCTCGCTCAGACCCTCGATGACATCTAGCGCAACCTAACCTGCTACCTACAACTCCCGACTGGGCAAGAAAATCAAGACCAACCTCTACAGTACTCACCTGAAAATGCGACAACTTCTACAGATGGAGGGGCCCGTGATCAACAGAGAAAGCGGAGCAGGTGGAAGGCACCACAGAAGCTACAGCAAGCCTGAAGGCCATGGTCCGTGCTGCTCTGCTCGGG